GTCTCACTCATTGGACAGCAATCCAGCAATATATTATTAAATTCAAAATTTTCACTAACAAAATATAGTGTAACTGCTTGGTTATCTTCACTGTATTTTTACACCATTCGCCACTTTTAGCATAATTTTGTCGAGACATGCTTCATATAATTCCTTAATTATCGTTCTTGATACTACATGCCGAATTCGACAAACCSACAGGTTGTAAGTCCTTAATGAAGAGCATTGGTAACGCATCATCCATTTCCTTTATTGCCTTTGAAGAAATTTTCATATTTATACTGGTATTATTTATTATATTATATTATTGTATATTTTAGTCTGGCGCAGAACAGGCTCTGAATTGAAATCCGAAGTAAAAATGTTATGTTTTACCGTATTGTACATTTGTTTCCGTAACTTCATGCTGTGCATCTGGACTTTCCGCTTAATTGCTACTTTTTGCACAGTCGCTGCTCTTGCAAGTTCCATTTTTGGATGCCGATTTTGCACATGCTGTTTAAATGTCGACGTTTTGTAAAATTTGTCTACCTGCTTTGCATTTTGCATGAGTTTCACTTATTGCTTCGAAAAATTGCCAAATTTCACTCCTTTTTTTATTTATTTTAAAAGCAATTTTCCCAATATTTAATAAATTTAAGAAAATTCGAATTCAAAGTATTTATTTTAAGCAATCGTTTAACGGAATTAAATAAAACGAAATACACACATGTTTACAGTGAAAAAGTATTAAAAATTGTATTTTTTACCTCTAGCACCAAAAAAATACGCAATTTTTGTTCATCAGCTGGGGCCAATTGTAAATTTCATTCATAGAAAAATAGTGGCATGTAGAAAATCCATCAATCACTGATATTTTGATATAGCAATAGCAGTGACTACAAGTGATTTTTGAATCACAGTGATAAAATCACCGGTAGTGAAATATCACTCATCACGATAGCGGATCTTCAAGATGAATTTTAAATTTCTGCAAATTACAATATTTTTTCTCTGTTACATTTTTTCATTACTTACCGCTAATTTATCCACTTCATATTTGAGCACACTAATCACCAGATGGCACGATATGCTTGTAGAATTCCGGTCGTATATCGAAATCGGCTGTTTGTATGGTTTTAAACACTAATCCTGCGATGCCTTGTTCTCCAACGTTTATTAAATGCGGTTGGAATAGCTCCTCAAAGCTTATATCGCACAACCATCTGTAAATTTAGTAAAGAAAACGAATATTATATTAAACAAATTCGTTAGTTAAAAACAAGCACAGTCGTTTCTAACGCTACTCGCGGTTCCATCTCGATGTCATAGGCGATAGAGCAAAGTTTCGCTTTCACCATGCAAGGCATCGGTTTGTTTAAACGTATAGCCACCAAGCAACTGCAACTGTAAAAAATAATTTTATTAAGCTTATTTTGTCTAATTTTATTATAATACTTATATATGTATGTACTAAGGCTACTAACCGTAAACAGATAACATGTGATACCACGGCCGGCAATGTCCAGTTGTTTTTAATAAACTTACTTCAATAATTTTTGCTCGATTCTTTAGTAGAATCGTGGGATGTCCTGTTAGCAGAATTTTGGTGTTTTTTACCATATAATTTTCCATTGAATAGGAAWCCTCTAAGGGCGAGCATAGCTGTGAGGCTTCATCATCGACTATAAGGTGATGTAATTTTATTGTTGCACGACACTAATAATAGAATTATGTAGTAAASAAAGCATGTTAAACCAAATTACAATTTATAGTACGGATAACAAATTCGAAATTTATTTATTTGTGGCATGTAGCTCTTCTTTATTGGAATAAATGTTGTCAAGATCAACTTCTTCCAATAACGGTGCCACAAGTATTATGTCGAACGAAATGACCAATAATAATTTGGGGATTTTCTTCGCACCATAACATACGTGTTTGTTCATTTACCGCTCCACTAAGATGAAAGTGAGCCTTATCGGAGAACATTACTTGAGACAATCATAATACTTGAAAATCCTAAATCGACAAATTGCGAATCGACAAGATTTTTATTACTTCGGGTAGTGCTTTGTCTTATTGACACGTGAACATTATGTAAAGAAAATATATGGCCGAAATATGAAACTATTTGATGAATAGCGAGCACAAGTGGACGATTTTTACAATAGTATAAAGTGACGAAAATTTGCAATTGGAGAACGATTACTTTTATAATAAAATATAATAATTTGTAAACGTTGTTCATTATGACATTGCAAACATTACTGAATTTAATGATTACAATTACAATTAAAAATCATGAGATATTAAAAATGGCCGAAATATTTTAAAGTAACATCAGTTAGAAATATCTCTTGCTGACTAGACTTCGTTGGCTAACATTCTATTTTTAATATATTTAAATCTAAATAGTTTCCTAATGTGGTTTTTGCTAGACTTAATTCTAAGAATTTTCTCTAAGCAGCTATTAAATTGTACGGCAGACTATATACATTATAAACAAATTCGCACAAATCTTCGAAGGGTGCTTATCCTAATCCATTTTTTATGAAACCTTCTCTTTCCCAAATAAGTTCTATGTGATATATATATATTGTATATAGTTTATATTTCCAAAAATATCCTGTGAAATCGGCAAGATCTTATCTTGATTACTTTTTGGATGACAGCGTTCTGAAGAGCGAACGCTCGTATATATATGCAACTTTAAACACGTTTTTTCGAAACAGCATTTTTCAAAATAGCTGATATCATAACTCAACGAGAATTTAATCGATCGCCTTCAAATTAAAACTGAGTATTGTTGAATCCATTTCCTATACAATGACCTACGATCTCTTTAATTGGTTGAAGCTTGTCAATTTGGCATTAAAAAACGGCCATTTTTCCAAAATTTTTTTTTCAAAATTACGCCATTTTGCTAATTTTTGATATTTTTCAAAAATTGTGGGTTATTGTATAAAAATATTTTTAAGTTTAATAAACTTTTTGAAAATTTTTGTTTCAGCTACTTATTCGGCTGGAATCATGTCAGCAGTTGACGCACTTTTTTTGGCACCTCCGAAGATGCACATAACTCCGTTTTAATATTTTTGTAAAATTTTTTTTTTTTTTCTTTTTTATGTTCGATGTATTCAATCGAGTACTTTCTTTCAAAAGAATTCACGAAAATCGCCTCGTTTTTCATGCGTTACACTGGTATAGCCCCTTAATACTATGTTCAGACCGAAAATTTAAAAGATTACATTACATTTAAGCATTTCATAACCCAAAAGTGTTCTTACTGCCGTTGATTTATAAATCAGATGTTTTTGACATTCAGCTATAAACATCAAAGTATTTATTAAAGGAAAACATTGTCGTACGTTGTTATAAAAATTGTCTTCTTTTTTCTAAATTATCTCCGCTCAATGGAAATAATTTGGGAATTGTTTGATTTTAACCGCGTAGCACTGAAACGTTTGCTGTATGTACAAGTAGCGCTAAAATGTGTAGTCAATATGGAGCAAATTCAACAAGGTCTATTTGGATAAAGGCAAGTACATATGTATATAAATATTCGTATTATAATTTCGTTTTATTATGTGTATATAATTCAGACTCGTGGCCAAATGTTTTGGGGAGTCGACTGCCAGCTGAATTCAGATGCATTTCTTAAAAACAACTTCCCAATGAAGCGCAATTCTTTCATTAAATTGTGTATTATGTTGAAAGGTTTGGAGAAGAAAAACACTAACTACGCAAAGCAATTCAATTAGAGAAACGCATTGCCATTGCTTTATATGCTCTTGGCTCTTCTGCAGAATACCGATCAATTGGAAATATGTTCGGAATTGGTAAAAGCACTGTCTGCTCCATTCTAATTGATTTCTGTCATGAAGTCTGGCGTTGTTTGTGGCCTTTGTATTTGAAGAAATTCCCAATGAACGAAATTCAATTGCGCGAGTATTTAAATGGCTTTGAGTCATTGGGTTTCCCTCAAGTGGTAGGAGCTATAGGTAATTAGTTAAATTTTTTACATTGGAGTTTTTATATATTTTTAAGTTTCAGATGGTTGTCATATAGAAGTTCGCCCAGCTGCAGACGATGCTGTTGATTACTACAATTACAAAGGCTGGTATTCCACAGTTCTTTTGGCTTTAGTAGATGCAGGGTAAGTTTTTTCATGAAGCTAATTTAAACACCGAATGTATTTCTTTATTGCTATAKATGCCGCTTTATATACATACATCAACGTTGGTACTCCTGGCCGTTGTAATGACTCTTCAATATTTGAGAGATCATCTTTAAAACGCGAGTTGGCACAATCTACTATATTTAAAGACATGAGTAGACAAATATCGTCAGTTAATGTTCCAGTCGTTTTGTTGGGCGACTCTGCGTTCAAATTTGATGAACATTTGATGAAACCATACCCATTTTGTGTAAACCAACCTTTGGATAAAAAAAAATTCAACTATGTACTCTCGAAATGCCGAAGAGTGGTGGAGAATGCTTTTGGTCATTTAAAGGGAAGGTTTAGACGGGTTGGAAAAGGCTTGGATAACTACATGGCTAACACGAAAATAGTCATAAAAGCGTGCTGCGTTTTGCACAATTTTTTAAATGAGGAAAATGGTGAAATTAATGAAAAGTGGATTGCAGCACAACAAATCGAAAACGAATCTCGGCAGTWGCCAGAAGATGTCTCTAACATTTGTGGAAATTTCAACCCAAGAGCAGAGGAAATAAGACAAGCGTTCTTTTCGTATTTCGGTGAGTTATTACATTCATACTTACATATCTATAACTCAATTCCAGTACAAAAAACAGATATTTTTATATTATATATATATGTTACATATATATTTTCGTATTCAATCACATATTTTTATTTATTTTT